AAAGTAGAGATAGTGACATGTTTAACAGCGTTAAAGTCTGTGTTCGGTATGACCTCCTTATTCTTCATCACAGCCTGAACTGTCTTAGGAAAGAACTCCTGTCATTTCCTTTAGTGGTCTTCAGGAATAGTTTTCCAGGCTCTTTGAAGGACATTCTAAAGCTTTGGAATTTCTGTAATTGGGCAAAACCCCAGCTGTCTCCCTCTGTCTGCCTGTCCTCACTTCCTGTTGTTCTGTCTGCTCCACACACAGGTCTGTTAGTGCTACAGAGGATGAATGCTGCTACATTAATCCTGTGCACAGTTAGATGCTGTCACGCCTCAGCTGCTGTGTCTATATCTCACATCCTGTTTGGTTGTAACTCATTTCTAAAACATCACCAGGTTCTGATCGCTACCAGCACTCTGGCCTGGGGAGTGAACTTCCCCGCTCACCTGGTTGTCGTCAAGGGAACCGAGTACTACGATGGCAAATCCAGGCGCTATGTGGACTACCCCATCACAGGTACAGCTCAGTGACAGCCTGGGTGTGGTCTCTGTGGAACAGGAAGTGTGCTTCCTCCAGCCTGTGTGACGTTAAACTCCGCATTAAGAAGCTCTCTCATATAGCTGTCACTGACGCTCAGAACAAACCGCATTAACAGATCGTAAACGTTCTGCTCTAAAGGTTGTGTGTAACAGTGTGTGTGTGTGTGTGTGTGTGTAGACGTGCTGCAGATGATGGGGCGAGCAGGCCGTCCTCAGTTTGATGATCAGGGCAAAGCAGTCATCCTTGTCCACGACATAAAGAAGGATTTCTACAAGAAGTTTCTGTACGAGCCGTTTCCTGTAGAGTCCAGGTAACAGCACAATCTTCATCATCAGGATTCCTGCCATAGTCATCTGTTAGTGTCAAAGTCTGCGCCCATCTGTGGATGTCTAATGTATTTAAATCTTTATGACCCGTTACTGTCCACATCAAGGTTAAAGTAATGTGATACATATCAGGCCTTATGTGAAAGCATGTTGTCAGTACAAACAGGATGCTGCTGTTTCCCCTTCAGATCAGTCTGTCCTGCAGAGAGCGTCTAAGTGGGACTTTCAGTCTTTACATGATGCTTTCTGTTCACACA